TCTTTTTTTCTGGCTACTTTTAATATTTTCTCTTTATCACTGATTTTGACTAATTTGTTTATGATGTGCCTTGGTGTTATTTGTCATTTGCCTTATACTTGGGGCTCACTGAGCTTCTTGGATCTATGGATTTTCATAATTTTTCCATAACGTTTGGAAAATATATTTTTATCCCTTTTCTCTCTCCTTTTCTTGGAGGAATCCAACATGCATATTAGGCTTCTTAAAGAAATTACTAGCTAGGTACGGTGGCTGATGACTGTAATCCCAGTATTTTGAGAGGCTAAGTGAAGCAGGTGGATTGCTTAAGCCTAGGAGTTCAAGCCCAGCCTGGGCAACATGGCAAAACCTCATCTCTAAAAAAAGATAGAAAAATTAGCCAAGTGTGATGTCATGTGCCTGTAGTTTCAGCTACCTGGGGGGCTGAGGTGGGTGGATCACTTGAACCCAGGAGGTTGAGGCTGAGTGAGCCATGAGCTATGATCATCATGCCACAGCACTCCTGTCTGGGTGACAGAGCAAGACCCTGTCTTAAAATAAAAATAAATAAATAAATAAATAAATAAACAAACAACGGATTTTCTGTTTTTTATTTATTTATTTATTTATTTTGTCAGAGCTAATGGAAGGATGTTTTAAAAATACTATATATATATTTTTTGTTTCATTTTGGATAGTCCTATTGCTGTATCTTCAATGTCACCAATCTTTTCTTGCTTCATTTAATTCGCTACTAATATCATCCGTTATGTCTTTTATCTCACATATTGTTTTCTTGTCTACAAATGTGATTTAGATTTTTAAAATTATATATTCTTGCTGCAGCTGAACAACAACAAAAAATTTTAAACTTGGCAAAAAGTTGAATAGACATTTCTCCGAAGATGATATGCAAATGAACAATTAGCATATTAAAAGATACTAAACATCACTAATCATTGGGGAGATGCAAATGAAAAACAGTGAGATATTACCTTATACTCATGAGGATGGGTACTAGCAGAAACACCTAAGTTTACTTATATAACAAACCTGCACATGTATCCTGAACCTAAAAGGAAAACAAAAACCAAAAAACAAACAAACAAACAACACCTAAACAAATAGAAAAAAAAAAGTACTGATGAGGATGTGGAGAAACTGAAATGTAGTATGGTTGTTTCTTAGTAATTAAAAATAGAATATCCATATGATAGTAATTCCTCCTCTGGGCATATATCCAAAAGAATCTACGCCAAGCAATATCAAAAAGAGACATTTACATTCTCCTGTTAATAGGCAGCACTATTCACAATAGTCAAGAGGTAGAAGCAACCCAAGTGTCCACTGATAGATAGGTAAAATATGGTATATACACACAGTGGAACATTTTTCAACCTTAACAAGGAAGGAAATTCTGACACATGCTACAACATGTATGAACCTTCAGGACATTATGCTAAGTGAAATAAGCCAGTCACAAAAACACAAATTTTGTGTGAGTCTACTTATATGAGGCATACAGTGTAGTCAAATTCATAAAAACAGGCTGGGCACAGTGATTCATGACTGTAATCCAAGCACTTTGGGAGGCAAAGGCAGGTGGATCACCTAAGGGCAGGAGTTCGAGACCAGCATGGTGAAACCCCATCTTTACTTAATTGAATAGGAGTGGTGAGAGAGGGCATCCTTGTCTAGTGCCAGATTTCAAAGGGAATGCTTCCAGTTTTTGCCTATTCAGTATGATATTGGCTGTTGGTTTGTCGTAAATAACTTTTATTATTTTGAGATGTGTTCCATCAATACCTAGTTTATTTAGGGTTTTTAGCATAAACGCTATTGAATTTTGTCAAAGGCCTTCTCTGCATCAATTGAGATAATTGTGTGGTTTTTGTCTGATTCTGTTTATGTGGTGAATTACGTTTACAGACTTTCGTATGTGGGATGAAGCCTACTTGATCATGGTGGATAAGCTTTTTGATGTGCTGTTGCAATCGGCTTGCCAGTATTTTATTGAAGATTTTTGCATCTATGTTCATCATGGATGTTGGCCTGAAGTTTTCTTTTCTTGTTGAGTCTCTGCTGAGTTTTGGTATCAGGATGATGTTGGTCTCATAAAATGATTTGGGAAGGATTCCCTCTTTTTGGATTGTTTGGAATAGTTTCAGAAGGAATGGTACCAGCTCCTCTTTGTATGTCTGGTAGAATTTGGCTGTGAACCCGTCTGGACCTGGGCTTTTTTTGGGTGGTAGGCTCTTAATTGCTGCCTCAACTTCAGACCTTGTTATTGGTACTAAATACAAAAATTAGTCGAGTGTGGTGGCAGGCACCTGTAATCCCAGCTATTCAGGAGGCTGAGGCAGGAGAATTGCTTGAACCTGGGAGATGGAGGTTGTAGTGAGCCAAGATTGCACCATTGCACTCCAGCCTGGGAAACACGAGCAAAACTCTGCCTCAAAAAAAAAAAATTAATAACAGCAAAGTAGAATGGTAGTTTCCAGGGACCAGGGGTAGGGGAAAATGGAGAGCTGTTATTTAATGGGTAGTTTCAGTTTTGCAAGATGAAAAAGATCTGGAGAGGGGTTGTACAACAACGTGAATATATTTAATACTACTGAGTTGTATACTTAGAAATGGTTAAAATTTTATGTACATTTTATGCATTTTTTACCAAAATAAAAAATCCGTAACAAATTATAAACAAGATAATAAAGAAGTCAATTAACATAATGCCAAAATATTATAATAAACAAGAAGTCTATTAACAATGCCAAAATATTTTTGGGAAAAGTAACATATTGTTTGTCCCTCTGTAAAGTCCATTTTTCAAACATGTTCTTTCTAACCACATAATTATAAATAAATGGTATTTGTTTTTAAGAAAATTTATCTTCCATGTCTCTACTTAACTTTTGGAACCTACGTAATACTTATAACTATTTTTAATGTCCTTCTATACAAAATCTAAATCTGTATCTGTTCTTTTTCAGTTTCAATTGTTTAATCTCCTTGCTATAGATTATACTTTCTTGTTATTTTGATGCGTGGCATTTTTTTTACTGGATTCCAGGCATTTAAATTTTTTGTTTGGGGCTGGTTATTTCTATATCCCAGTATTGCTCTGGAGCTTTGTTCTAGAATTTGGATAAACCACTTGGAAACAGTTTGATCCCTTTGGCTCTTGTTTTTAGGCTTGTTAGATAGGACTGGAGCGGTGTTCGGCCTAGAACTAATTAGGTCTTACCACTAAGGCAGCGCCCTTATATGTACTCTCATGTACCCTACCATGAATCTTGAGGTTTTCAAGTCTGGTTGGTGAGAACAGATGTTATTCCCAGCATTTTGGGCGTGCCTGTCACTGTTATCCTATTATCTCTATTTTTTCTTTCTTTTCCTTTTTTTTTTTGAGATAGAATCTTACTTTGTTGCCCAGGCTGGAGTGCAGTGGCGCTAACTCAGCTCACTGCAACCTCTACCTCCTGGGTTCAAGCAATTCTCCTGCCTCAGCCTCCAAGTAGCTGGGATTACAGGCTTGCACCACCATGCCCAGCTAATTTTTGTATGTTTAATAGAGAAAGGTTTTCACCATGTTGGTCAAGCTGGTCTTTAACTCCTGACCTCAGGTGATGTGCCTGCCTCAGCCTCCCAAAGTGCTGAGATTACAGGCATGAGCCACTGTGTCTGGCCTCTTTTTCCTTCCCTCCTCTCCCCTCCTTTCCCCTCTCCTCTCCTTCTCCCCTCTCTTTCTCCCCCCTCTCTCCCTCCCTCCCTTCCTCCCTCCCTCCCTCCCTCCCTCCCTCCCTCCCTCCCTTCCTGCCTTCCTTCCTTCCTTCCTTCCTTCCTTCCTTCCTTCCTTCCTTCCTTCTTTCCTGTCCTTCCTTCCTTCCTTCCTTCCTTTCTTCCTCTTCCTCCCTCCCTCCCTTTCATTCTTTTTTTTTTATTTGAGATATGCTCACCCAGGCTGGAGTGCAGTGGTGCAATCATAGCTCACTGCAGCTTTGAACTCCTGGGCTCAGGCCATCCCCCCACCTCAGCCTCCTGAGCAGCTGGGACTACAGGTGTATGCCACCACGCCTGGCCAACTTTTAAATTTTTAGTAGAGGTAGGGTCTTGCTATGTTGCCCAGGCTGGTCTCAAACTCCTGGCCTCAAGCAATCCTCCTGCCTTGGGCTCCCAAAGACCTGGGATTACAGGTATGAGCCACTGTGTCCAGCCAGCTACCTCTAATTTTTTGGGTAGTTTTTTTTCTGGCCTCCGATAGTTTCCTTATGTGCATGTGCTGATCAGTCCTTGGCTGAATATTCGAGTGGGAACCCTCTGCAAACCTCAGGAATGTCCTCTCTCTGTGCAGTTCTCTCCTTTTTTGTATGCTGCCCTAAGAACTTTAGCAGCCTTGGTCTCCCCCGACTCTCTGCTCTGTGTTCTCAACTCATGGAGTTTGTCTGGTTCTACCTAGGTTCCCCTTTCTTTGTGCTGTGGCTTGGAAACTCTCTCAAGGCAGTAAACCGTGGCAATTATAGTACTTACTTCATTATATCTCTCGAGACCATTGTCCTTTTTTTGCCTGATATCCAGTGTCTTTCAAACTGTTTTTCACATATTTGTCGATTTATTGATTGTTTCAGCTAGGAGAGTAAGCCAATCCTTGTTATTCAATCTTGGCCAGAGTGGAAGTCTACATTTAAATTTCACAGTGTGCTTTTATCCTAAGAGTGATTTATATATTTTACAGAATTAAAACTAATTGATTTATGTAGTTCTCAAATCAAGCCATAGTTTTGTTCTCCTGAAAACGGCTCCTGACCAAGTGGATTGCCCTTTAATAGTAACCCCACTGCTCTCTCCAAGAAGTTAGAGCAGAGCTGCATCTGAACATAAACCAAGCTGCATTAAATCACTATGTGTGTACTTCACAATGACTGGTAAAACACAACTGTAGTTCTAGGTATAGCCACTTGAACTAGCGCAGCGTTAAATCTTTGCCTCACTCAAGTATGGCCATTCTGTGGTTTGCTTTACAGTTGACACGTCAAAGGCATTATGAGGAACAAGATGAAACTCAAAGGTAAGATTTATAAACATACTATCCCTGCTCTTAGATTAAGTGTCCCTGAAGACTTCAGCCTAAAGTGGATCTCTCTAAGTCAGAATCCTGATCATGCACATGCTGATGTCTTCTCTTTGGACGTCAGTGCGAACCCTTAAGTGACTATGTAAATCTGACGACAGTGAAACACAACTATTTATTTGTTGGTGTTGAATGGGAGGAGGTGCAAAATGTGAAGCAGTAACAAATGGAAACTTCCTGCAGACCTAGAGGAATGACAAGGATATTTCAGGCATGTACTGAGGTATTAAAATATAAGTGTACCATGGAAAGGATGCGGACTCTGCAGCCTGGATGCAAATCCTGTCTGTGACAATTATAGCTGTGTAACCACGGCAAGTCACTTAACCTTCCTGTCTGAGTTCCCACAGTACAACCTCCCAGGGTTATTGCAAGAATTAAATAAAATAATGTGTGCAAAGCACTTAAAACGTGCCTGGACATAGTGCACTCCATATAAATGGGAGCCCTTGGTATTATCACCGTCATTATTGTTATGGACAATTGCAAAGGCAGGAAGGGATGTAGAATGCATGGAGCATCAGCAGGGAAGGCTCAAGAATGTGGACTCTAAACTGGGCTTTGATACATAGAAATTTTCAAGTGATGGAAATGGGCAGTGATTCTGGGTGTAGGGAACAGAATAAGCCAAAGTCCAAAGGAAAACAGTTTGAGATATGCTTAGAGAAAAAGCAGGCAGTCTAGCTGGAGCTTATGATGTTGCTGGGACGTAGGGAGTGATAAGGCTGAACGGGGAAAAATTACAGGGTTTGGCAACATTTTGATATGATAACTGAAGAAAAAGGAGGTGCTTTGTATAATCCAAATATAAGCTGTACATCTACATAGCTCAGTGTCAAAGCAACACTGAACTAAAAAAAAGTCTAACAATCAAAAGTATTTTAAAACTAATTTAAAATTTTACTTGCCATTCTCTAAGAACTTTAAAAAGCATACAATTCATAGTTTAGGAACAATTCTTAAACTTCCCCTTTCTGTCTTTAGTACTTAGAACTCATCAGCTTTGGAGCTTCTCACTCTTCTAACCTCTTACTTTCCATTTCTTTTTCCTGGAAACGCTCTCGAAAGCCTCAGCCCATGAGGCGCTTGTCTTTTGTTCTTTTCTTTCCTTCCTTCTGCTTCTTCAGTCTTATCTTTGTTTATCCATTCTCTTGATTTTGAATCATGAAACTCAAGGGACCATCCTGAAAAAGGCAGAACTCTCCTAAGAGGGCAGGCTTAGCCAAGCTATCAGAGACAACTTCTCTTACGGGTAGGGGCAGAGAGATTGGGAACATGCTCATATTAATACATTTTAAAATTCATCAAACAAAGATAACACTAAGATTTGGAGCCTTGGTGATAAGATAATGGAAGATATACCATCAAGAAATAAAAGTGCTTTGGGGGTAAGATGTTGTGTTTGGAACTGAACATGAATTGGAGGCTAGAACATCATCATTTGGATATAGATGGAGAAAAGAAAGCTGGATAAATAAGTCATGCATTTAGACTGGTTTGAGCATCATGCTCAGATAAGTGATAGTTAATGCTGTAGGAATGAATGAGAAGAGAAATAGAGGGAAAAAAAAAGAAATATGCGGGTTACAGACAGAATTTTGGACCATACCTGCATTTCAGAGAGAGGACTCATGAAAGGAGAGGGAGGTCTCATCCAGACCAATTCCATCAGAATCTCTGGAGCTGAATTCACGCATTAATGTTGCTTAAAGCTCCCAAAGTGATTCCATATGCAGCCCATGTTGAAAACCATTGTTCTAGTGGCTTATACAATGCTTAATGGTTTTTAGGGTTTTACAAGGAAAGCAGTGGTTAAGGAATGAAGTTCTAGTTCATGGGATTTAAAATCCAGAAACTCTTAACACTCTCATTTTGTTGAGGAACCTGAGGCTCTAAGAGATTGATTAATTTTGGACCTTAAACAAGACACTTAATGAATTTCCAGCCTACTGCTTGCCTCCACGGTCACTGATACAAATCCCTCCTTCTCCTCTTTTCTCACTCCCGCCTTCCTCACCCTAGCCCAGGTCGTCTACCACTCTTGTCCTGAAAATTCCTGACCCTAGTTCTAAAACTGGCCCGTCCTTCCAAAGACTCTCAGTTCAGGTTTTAAAACACCAACAATCTGTCCGGTTAAAGGCTCACTCAAGGTACTTTCAGCAGCGGCAGACCATGCTGCCAGAGGAAAGCTGTTTAAGGGGAATTTCTTATAACTTTGTGAGCCTGGAAGGAAAGTTAACCTCTAGAAGATAATGGGAGGGAGGGAGGCAGCCTATATTTTGAGGTACTGGAGGTGAAGATGCCCGACTTCTAGCCCAGGCCCCTCCTGAGAGACTCCAGCAATGCCCCCCATACTGTTATAAAGTGCGGCCAAGTCTGGGGCTGTGGTGGTGAGTCCTGCCAGAGCTGACGAGGACACAGCATTTGTGGGAATTCTGTGACTCAAGAGGCAAAGGGTCAGTTTCTTTTCATTGACTGTGTTCTTGCTGCCCAAGAGTTTATCTCTGAGAATCTTGACTGGTTTCCAGGGTCAGGCTTCACCTCCATTGTTATCTGGAAACACAGGAACAGCCGTTTTGTCGTGCCAGAATGGGTGAGACAACACCATTCCTTATGCACCATAATCACGCTCTTCCCACAGAGTAAAGTTCCACACACTTCCAAAAGAGCTAGAGGAGGATTTTTTTTTTTAAAAGTCACAAACCAGCTTGTGTTTCTCTTATACGCAGACATTTGTGCTTGATTTGTACCCTCCTCTATATTTCATTTTCTCTGTGGTTCCACAAAATACCCATGAATATGTTCTAACAATGGAATACACCCTGGAGCTTGAGACACACTGGAATCCCTTGCAAACACTAATCTTTCACTCATCCTCATACACAAAAAGGATAAGCACATATAACCCCTGAACTCGCATGTGACTCCATCAGCCCACACGCACACTCAACGTGGGTTCAGGTTACATGTGTGCTGCTTACGTGATGGTTCACGCAACCTCACCTGGAGGTTTATGTCCACAGGGCCTGTTTATTCCTAGCAGAGCCGGCATCTGTGTTCACAGTCACATGAAAAATACACCATTAGGTTTCTGAGAAACAAATGGCAACAGAGGAGAGCCAGGGCAGCTGAAAAAATGGAACTGCTCCTTCCTGCTCTGTCCTGAAGCAAAGCAATCAAACTGTTTTGGGTGACGCTAGTGTGCTGAGTTCCAGTGTGGACTCTCACAACAGACCCTGATTTAATTCCAAGGCCATGAGCAGCAGTCTCCTCCCCAGCGATGTCTGTTGGGTTCCTCCAGCTGTCTTCAGGGCAGTTCTCCCTCAGTGCAAACTATTAGCATTTCCTGTTAAAACATTTCTAATAAATAAATGAATACATCATCTCCCCAACCCAAAACAGGTCTCAAAGCAGCCTTAGGAACTGCTCTGAGCTAAGGACCGACATGGACCACCCAGCACCAACCCACTGGCCCAGAGCCAATGCTGCTTTTGTTTGAATTCCTGTATGAGTAACTGCTCGGGCTGACGCCAGCCAAACTCAGTGAAATATTATTTTTAATATTAAATAAATAGATGGCGGGGTGTGTTGATCTTTTTTTTTCTCAGTAAATTGCAGCATCACAACCTAGAAGCTGGCTCTCATGTCCAGATTTCCTCAGATAGCAGAAGGAAGGTTGACATTCTCTTTGACCTTCCTCATGGAACGCTTACCCCCCAAGAGACAGAAAAGTCCCAGTTGGTGTTGACAGGACCCTATTTGGAGTAAGCTGGGACTTTAAATGGTAACAAAGCTTGTAAAAAATCATCAACTATTTTTGTTAATTTTTCTAATTTATTGTTTCCTTTCAATATACAAAAACATATGCTCTTTATATAAAAATCAGAAAGCACAGATAAACAAGAGGAAGCTGAAATGATTACTACCCCAGAACCAATGATTACTGTCAAATTTTGGTGACTGTTCCTCCCAGCTTTCGAATATTTATATACATATGTCACAGTCAGTGTATGTTGATTTGACAGAAACGGGATCACAATGGGTGTTCATATGTTTGTTACAGAAAATTAATTTGGGGGTATCTATTTTAAATACCCTCCTAAAACTCCACTCTTCAGAGCTACCTGATTATCTGAATATGCTACAGTCTACTCAAACCATCTTCTATCATTGTATATTAAGGTTGTTCCCAAGTTTTTGCTATTACAGAAAATGCTCCAGTAAAGAATCCTTGTAGCTAACTCTGCTTCCATTCTTAATTGCTTTTTAGGCTAAAGTCCCCCAAACAGAATTTTTTTTGGGGATGGAGTTTCGCTCTTGTTACCCAGGCTGGAGTGCAATGGCGCGATCTCGGCTCACCGCAACCTCTGCCTCCTGGGTTCAGGCAATTCTCCTGCCTCAGCCTCCTGAGTAGTGGGGTTTCAGGCACGCGCCACCTTTTTTTTTTTTTTTTTTTTTTTTAGGGTCTCAATCTGTTGCCCAGGCTGGAGTGCAATGGTGTGATCACAGCTCACTGCCACCTCTACCTCCTGGGCTCAAGTGATTCTCCTACTTCAGCCTCCCAAGTAGCTGGGACTACAGGCATGCCCCACTGTACCTGGCTAATTTTTCTATTTTTTTGTAAAGATGGGGTTTTGCTATGTTGCCTAGTCTTGTCTCAAATTCCTGGGGCAGAGGGATCCTCCTGCCTCAGCCTCTCAAAGTGCTGGGATTACAGGCATGAGCCACTGTGCCTGCCCCACCACTCAACAGAATTTTAAGGCTTTGGCAACATATTACCAAATTGCCTTTTGCAACGATGACACCAAATTACATTACTACCAGCAGGGAACCAAAATATTACCCCGCTGGTACCTCTGCCACACTGTATAGTATTCTTCAAAAATAATCTTTGACAATTTTTTAGAGAAGAAAAGAACAACCAAACTTAAATGTTTAACACAAGAGGTGAGCAATACAGGACTTTTGCAAGTCTGAGTGGTAGGTGGCTGCATAGTGGGCAGCGAAGGCAGGTGACCAAAAGGGAGACCCTGGCTGTCGTGGCCCTCAGCATGTAGAAGACACTCTGACATCAGGCTTGGCTGGATGAAAGAAGTGCTCAGAAGCCCCAAAGTGAGGAAGACAAGAAGCTCTACCACAGAGATTCTCAATGAGATTCATTTCTTTGGAAGGAAAAAGACACTGAGGTCAGGAAGTCTGGGGAACACCGGGATAAGGCGAGTTAGACAGTTTCTTCACAGCAGCATTTCTCGGAACCTGTGGAATGTGGATGTTCCAAGAGGCTGGCATGGTCCGCACTGTTTCCTGAGGTGACTGAACCACCGACGGCCCCGCTTCAGACCCATCTTTTTTATTTTCCACAAAGCAACCTGTGGATCCAGTGCTTGGTGGAATACACTTTGGGAAACCGTCTGATGCCACAAAGGGAAAATGGGTTTCACAGAAAGAGCAGAGAATGGGAGATAGGACAGAAACGAAGGGATGAGGGAGAAAAGAGAAAAGATGAGAAAAAGCAAGATAAAATAAGGGGAAATTAGAAAAAAGGACAAGAGAGAAACCAAAGGAAATGAGAAAGACAAAGAGAGGGAGAAAACAATTTAAGAGAATAGGAAAAGAAATTGGGAGCAGGAAAAGTATCATAGAGAAGCTCCTTATTACTAACCACCTCCCCATTGCTTTTAGGAGAGACCTAGGTGCCTGTCATCTCTTCCAGGCACAGGGTCCCACAGGTCACCCCAAACCTCAACCTGTCACTCTTCAAGGTGATTTTCTCTGAAATGTTCTCATTTCACAGCTTTTTTCTCAATGGCTATTACTTAAAGTGCAAGAGTGCACTGGCAAGGGAAGCTCAGAGAGAAATAAATGGTAGGCCCGACTGGGCATGGTGGCTCACGCCTGTATTCCCGGCACTTTGGGGGGGCCAAGGTGGGCAGATCACCTGAGGTCAGGAGTTCAAGACCAGCCTGGCCAACATGGAGAATCCCCATCTCTACTAAAAATATAAAAATTAGCTGGGCAAGATGATGCATGTCTTTAATCCCAGCTTCTCAGAAGGCTGAGGCAGGAGAATTGCTTGAACCTGAGAGGCAGAGGTTGCAGTAGTGAGCCAAGATCATGCCACTGCACTCCAGCCTGGGTGACAGAGTGAGACTCTGTCTCAAAAAAAAGAAATGGTAGGCCCTAACAAAACCCAGGAAAAGTAAAACAGAAGGAAATTCCAAAAATATGTAATCGTTATGTCTTTTATGGTTGTTGTGTAGCTTTATGTTGAAGCACAGTAGGACATGACCAAAATGAAACAAACGCCCTAGGGCTTCCCCACTTAGAAAGCAGCCGACAAGGCAAATCAATGGCTTTTGAACACCATCTGGGCCTTTCATCCATGAGGGCCTGCTTTCCGGCAAACTGAAAGCACCAAAGTAGTCAAATAAACTAAAAGCTTAAATGTAGGGCATGTACACAGTCCATAAACCCTTTAGAATTCCACAACAAAAAGACAATTATTTCATAAAAGCTGTTTGTATTTTTTTTTTCAAAAAAGTCTCAAGTAATGCATACTGAAATAGAAATAGGCATTTTGAAATAAGCTCATGGTGCATTCATCCAAATCTGAAACCCCTAAAAATTTCAGAGTTATGGGGTAGGATTTGAAGCAGTTACATTAAGATTGATGTTATATTTCATTAGAACAGTGATTCCTAGGCTATTAATCACCAAGAGTTTATTTTTTAGCATTGTTCTCTGCAAGCAGTCACTTATCATAGGTCATCACTGTGTATTCAAGTCCACAATTGCTCGTGGATTCAATTGGCATGCTGGACTGTCAGGTGGACCAGTAACTCCAGAAATTTCTGTGACTTCAACAATTGTCAATCATAGCAACTAGCATGACACACCATTAGTGAATGGAATAGATATTGTTCTACTCAAAAGGAAAGGACCTTGACAACCCTATCACAGAGGAGGAGTTGGGCCTCCATATTATCAAAAATAAGATGTAAGTTATTATTACTGATTTTGTAAATGCCCCACGAGTCAAGACCCCAAGGATGGAAATCCCTACATTTGATATTTTTCAAAAAACCTCCCGGCTTTCAATAATTGTGACTTTTTAAATTTTACAACAGAGTTTCACTCTGTTCCCCCAGTCTGAAATGCTGCAGTGGTGCGATCTTGGCTCACTGCAACCTCCGCCTCCCAGGTTCACATGATTCTCCTGCCTCAGCCTCCTGAGTAGCTGGGATTATACAGGTGCCTGCCACCACACCCAGATAATTTTTGTATTTTTAGTAGAGATAGGGTTTCACCATGTTGGCCAGGCTGGTCTCAAACTCCTGACTTCAAGTGATCTGCCCTCCTTGGCTTCCCAAAGTGCTGGGATTATAGGCATAAGCCACTGCGCCCATCCAACACTTTTCAGAGTTGACTTATCTTGAGCCTGTCAACCAAGGACAGCTAGTGATGGCACAAATGTGGCTGTTCTCACTTCCCTGCCTGTGTAGATATCTCTAACCCATCTATGCTCTTTCTCATTGAGCAGTTCTTCTCAATATAATGTCTATGTGATGAATGAACCAGAGCTGGTGCTGGATGGAACTCACTTGCCTTCCCGTATCTTAGGTGATTTGTTCATAAGGCAAGTATGAGGGATATAGGCTCAGGATCCCTTAAGTGGAGAAACTTGAGATATCATAATAAGGGTGGAAGATGTAGACAGGAAGGGAACAAAGGGATGTAGAGATGACTCAAGAATAAGAATCTGTCCAGGTGCGGTGGCTCATGCCTGTATTCCTAGCACTTTAGGAGGCCGAGGTAGGTGGATCATTTGAGGTCAGGAATTAGAGATCAGCTTGGTCAACATGGTGAAATCCCATATGTACTAAAAATACAAAAATTAGCCAGGCATGGTGATGCATGGCTATAATCTCAGCTACTCAGGAGGCTGAGGTAGGAGAATTGCTTGAACCCAGGAGGTGGAGGTTGCAGTGAGCAGAGATCACACTACTGCCCTCCAGCCTGGGTGGCAGAGCTAGACTTCATCTCAAAAATAAATAAAAAAATAAGAAATTGACTTCTCTTCCACCCCTATTGACAAGTGACTATAAATATAAATCCTTATTCTTTTTGCCTCCTGTGCTCTTCCAAGCACAGATACAAGGGTTGGACAAAAAGGTGTCAGAGTGAATAGAAAAGGTTAGTTCAAGAACAAATTAGAGGAAACTTCCAAAGCATTCTTGGGAAAATACCCTACATGACCATAAGGTCAGGACTTCCTACTCTCCCAAGTCTTTTCACTCACATTAACTCCTTGGAGCTTAATGCTTCTATGAGAAAGGGAGAGAAGGTGTTGGTGTCATCCTCTTTTTTACTCATGATGAAAGAGAAGCTTAAAGACGATGAGTGATCTTTCAAGATCAAGGCGAGGAAGGGATGGAATTGGAAAATAACTTAGATTTATAACTTTAGGTTCAGTCTTCTTTCTGATGCATGTGTGCTTCTCATTTTGTGGTGTGAGTATCCTAGGGCAAGCACGGTGGAGCTAGGAAATTATTTCAAAGATTTGGGATAAAATGGCCCTT